TCTCGTTCTCTCCTTTTCTCTCATTCACTTGTTCTCTTTCTCTCCTTTTCTCGTTCTCTTTCACTTGTTCTCTCTCTCATTCTTTCTCGTTCTCTCCTTCGCTTTCTTGTCCTCTGTCGTTCTCTCTTTCTCTCTCTTCTCCTTTTCTCTCATTCCCTTTCTCGTTCTCTCTCTCTCTCTCTCATTCTCACTCCCTTCTTCTCGTTCTCTCTCTCCCTCCCTTTCCCAGCCTAGATTTCTCAAGCAGCCAAACCCTCGGATCCACGGCGGGGCTCCTGAGTTGAATTACCTCAGACTGCAGAGTTAGGAGGCTGGGAGGAAAAAGGATTTGGTGGGGGGCCCGGGGAGGGGAGAAGGAAGAAGAGAGAAGATGGTTTTTCCATTAAATTATCAAAGCCACCCGAAGCTTTCTTTAACAAAACAAACAAACCTTAGCTCTTTATCTGAGCTACGTTGCCTACGAGGCAGAGAAGGTTAAACATTAAATGCGCAGCTATTCCCACCTTTATTTTTAAAGCTGGGAACAACCTTGAAACCTTTTTACATCCCACCCCACCCCAACCCGGGAAGGGGAGGTTAAGTCACGTTTGATAGAGAGAAGGGGGGGGGGGAAATGAATGTTAGAAAGAGATAAAATATAAGGAAGAAGCGAGGTTTTAGGAAGGCCGGGTCAACATTTAAATTGTCTTTAAATTATTATATTTTAGTAAAAAAAAAATGCTAACAGGGTGGGATCAAACCGGGCGGGCTAATTTTCCCTCCACAGCCGCCCCCCCCCCCACACGCCATAAATGAAGTTCAAGGACGGCAGCATCGTTTTTTTTAATGCGGGTTTCCGACGGAGTTGCTCGCTCACCGCCCTTTGCTCGGCGGTTTGCCTGCAGCCGTCCGTAAAGCGCCTCTCGTAAGAGTCCCCAGCGCCGGCCACCGCCGCCGCCGCTTCCTCGCGAGGAAATATCCGCCAAGGTGGGTGGGGGCCGGAGCGACCCCGGGGGCTAAACGCAAAAGCCCTCCCAGCCTTAAAAATAGGGGAAAAAAGCGATTTATTTTTTCCCTCTCTCTCCTTTTTGTCCATAAAAACTTCCAAACGGGTTTTTTAAAAACAAAAAAAACACCCGAGAGCGGCGGGCTGCGCGTTGCCTTCCATTTGAAGAGGAAGGGGCGATCCTAAAGGGGCTGAAGGAGCCTCAGTTTCCCCGGTGGGCTTCGGGGTATCCATTTATTCCTTTCCCTCCCGACTTTGCTTCCGCCCTGCATTTCCAGCCTGGTTTTTCTGTGAAGGGTCTCTTTTGAAAGGAAAGGCGAGCCCCCCCCCCGTCCCCCGGACAGGGCAGCTGGGGAAGGGGAGGGGTCTGCCGGCAAGGCTAGGTTTTGGGGAGGGGGCTCTCTTTGCCCTCCCCTCCCCAAGAAAACCCCCACCTTCCCCCTTTCCCAGGGTCGGTCGGTCGGTCTGTCTCTGTCCGTTTCTCTTGTTTTAAATCCCTCTCTGCGCCCCCTTCATTTCTCTATTCCCCCACCCCCCCGTTTTCTTAGGCTCCTTGGCTGGAAGAGGCTTCGCACCCCCCCAGGATGATGGGTCCCCGATCCCCGCTGGCGCGCTCCGGACTCCGCCACCTTTAAGGCTGGGGCCGGCCCGAGGAAGAGGAGGAGGAGGAGGAGGAGGGCGGCGGCGGGGCCGGCGGTCGGCCAGCGGAGGATGGATGGAAGAGACCTGGGGGCTCCCCGCGCCGTCCGGGTCCCCCCGCCGCTGCTCTCCGGGCTGGCTATGGAGAGCCACGTCGCCGCCGCCGCCGCCGGAGCTGCGCGCTTGGCTCCTCTGGCGACGCCGCTGCCGCCCGGCAAATACCTCGCCGCTCCGGGCCTCAACCTCCATTCCCATCCGGGTGAGTCTGGGCTGGGCTTCTAGCGCTGGAAGAATTGGGGGGAGGCTGTTGGGGGATGGTCAGCTTTCAATCCCCCCCCCTTTTTAAGAAGGGGGTGCACCCCTTCCCCTCAATCCCCCCCCCCCCCCCCCCCGGGCCCCCCCCCCCCCCCCCCCCCCCAGGCCCCCCCGGCAAGCCAAGCCCCCCCCCCCCCCCCTTTGGCTGCCAGCGAGATTGAAGTCCCTTGTGGCTGAGGGCATCCTGGAAAATGTGGAGAGCTGGGTCAGCAAATGCCCAAGGAGGAGTCCATTCTAATGGGTTTAGGGCTGGCATAGGCTTCCCCTTTTCTGTCTGGCCATCTGGGGCCACCTTAAACCCTCTTTGAAAGGGGAGGGGGGAGAGGGCCAACCTTTAAGACAAAAAGGGGGGAAAAAAAGAAGGGGAATGAATGAGCCAGTCTTCTCTTGAGAAACACACCTCCGTTTCCTTCTGAAATCCTTCGGAATCCATGAAGGACAAACCCAGTTCCATGTAAACCATGTTCTCCTGGATGGGATAAAGTTATTGTCAGTAGATTCCTGGCTGGGAGTAGAATAAATAAATATATCTGTTATTAATCGGTTAGATAGCACCTCGCCGAAACGTCGCCAAGATACTCAATCTTACATGGGAAAAGACCCGAACACACCTAGACACACATATATGTGTGTGTGTGTGTGTGTGTGTGTATGTGTGTATGTATATATGTATATATATGTGTATGTATATATATGTGCATGTATGTATATATATGTGTGTGTGTGTGTGTGTGTGTATATATTCCTAATTTGCCAGAGGGCAGGGGGAGGAAATAAATTCGTTTTTAAGATTTAAGGGAAAGGAGAACTAAAAATGTTGTTTTGGTGCCTATTTTGAGAAGCTGACACATGCTACTCAACTCTAAAGCCATCACATTCTAGTTTGAGCTAAATGTCAGGGCTGAAACGCCTGGTTTTTGTGGCTTGTCTTTCCTGCATTTTTATTTATTTTTTCCCCTGGATTTTTCTATCTCGGCAGTCTGTGGCTTGCTTTCTTCTGTCGTTGGAATGAGTTCTGGAGAATTTGAAGCCCTTGTTGTCTCTTCCGTTAGTTTAGTTTTGTAAAATAATGGTGTTCCTGTCTTTGAGGATTTTAGATTTCCCACCCACCCCTTCTTCTTTGCGGACTAAAAGGCCTGATTTTTATTCTCTGATTAAGTATGCTTTGGGAGTCCATGTCTCTTGCCAGTAGCTGGTGTTTATTTCTGCAAATGGTTCTCCCACAATTTGCTTGATGGGTCTTGTAGATTCTCATCACGGTCCAAGATCATCTTTGTCTAGTGAAGCCTTTTGATTTATTTTTTTAAAAATGGACTTTTTGTAATTCTTGTGGTTTGCTACCCTAAACCAAGATGATAGAAAACATGGGGAAAGGAGGCACAGGTAGCCACAACGGTTTGTGGAGTGACAACAAGCGCTGAAAAAAAGTGACTTATGACCGTTTTTCATACTTTATGACCGCTGCAGCGTCCCCATGGCCACGTGGTCCAAATTCAGACCCTTGGCCACTGACTCCTATTTATGATGGTTGCAGGATCCCAAGGTCACCACCTCACCAGCAAAGTCCAAGTTCTCTTAACAACTATGTTACTAACTTAACAATTGCAGTGATTCACCTAATGGTGGCAAGGGAGGTCATAAAATGGAATAAAACTCGCGTTACCAATGTCTCACTTAGCCACATAAATTCTGGGCTCAAGGGTTGTCGTAAGTCAAGCATTCCCTGTACTTAACCCCCCCCCCAAAAAACAGGGGTGTGTTGGAATGAAAATAGCTTTTGTCGCTCTATTTTTGGTGGGGTTTCCAAAGTTTTAATGCATAGGTCAGAATTGCACAAAATCGCCAACTGGATGGTTGAGGACAATTTTTTTTTAGATGGTTTCTTTCACTTGTCTTTTTTTTCTCTTCTTCCTATCCACCGTATCCACCCTCTGAAAGAAATCTCTTGTAGAGTAACTTTTCGAATAATCTTTCGTAGCAAAACTTGTTGTTGTTTAACCTGCAAGTTTGAGAGAGTTGTATCTTAGTCTGGAAGGACAACCTTGGGCGGCTTTTAAAACATTCAAACATTCCTTTGTCTTTTAAATTGTTTTATCTTGCTGGGCCCAAAATTTCCAACTGAATCTCTTGTAAAGAAATAGCTGGATTGGTTTTGGTGAATTCCTCACCAGTTAAAATTAGCTTCTTTTTAAGGGAGGGGTTGGGAGAAAAAACAAACTCTGGGCTTTGTCCAAATAAAAGCTTTTTTAAAAAAATTCAGTTTCAGAGCTGTTGTGATTTTTCTTTTTTAATGCCTTGCCATTGTGTGTGTGGTAGGGACACGATTGAGGAATAAATGTATGTGTTGAGATTATTCCTGCACCTATTTTCTTCTTCATATTCTCCTTTTTTTCTTTCTCTCCTGCAATTCATCGACAGAATAAATGAATTGCCCTTTAATAAAGTTTAAAATAGCAGCGTTGGTTTTTTTTTTCTTCTCCCTGGGTCTGTGTGTCGATACATGCAAATCCTCTTTCTGAGCTGAAAAGGGGAGGGCAGAGCGGTTTTTTTGGGGGGGAGGGGGGGAAGTGGGGGTTATGAAATAATGCACAAGTTAAGAGACTGGAGCCTCTCCACTGGAACGCATGCATTTTAGCATGCATTTAGCAGTAGCATGTTTAGAATTAGGCCTGCTTTAGAAGCAGGGTATAAAAGCCAGACACAGTCAGAAGTGTGGTGTTTAAAGTAGGTGGGTGTGTATTTTTTTTTTTTCTTAAGCAACTGCAGATGTTTAAAATCCTGCTATGCAGGTAAGAACAAAACACTCTTTTTAGATGACAAGTATGATCGTTTTGTTCTGTTTTTTCTGCTCAAGGTGGAGCCTGCATTTATTTTCCCCCAGCTTAACTGAAATAGCATTTCTGCATTTTGCTTATTCTCTTCAAATTGGATTCTCTCTTTTTTTAAAAAAAAATTCTCAGCTCACCCACTCTTACCTGGAATGCCAGGTGTGCCATCCTGGAAGAGGAAAAATCAACCAATATTTTTATTTTTTTCATCAGCCGATGTGGTTGGCAGGTCTTGTGACTTTCCAGCCCTTTTCAAATCAGTCAAGAATCCATAGGTACATTAAAAAAAAAACAGTCTCGTGAATAGGTGTGATTTTCTCTCCCCCACCCCAAGATTGGCGGGTGGTGTGGGGAGAGAAAGCTAAACCCTGGGTGAGAGAGAGGAGGTGATGCAGAATTGACTTTAGGAGACTGTGTGGGGACAGGTTTTGCAGTCGTGAAAAACTGGCTTTGAAAATTTTTGCAAAACCTGATGGCCAACCAAGAGGACAAAAGAGGAAGTTTGCAAGGAAGATTTATTGGATTTCAGGATAGGTGCTTTTTCCAGGTGCTAAAAAAACCCAGAGGTGCCAAATGCAGAGTGCTAAACTAAGCTCAAGAGCAAACATCATTTTATTTACATGCACACACACACTATCCTCTCAGCACTGCCACTACTCTATTTTTTTTTTTTAAAAAAGAGGTGACATCATTGTGCAGACTAGCTCAAAACTGAGCCAGAATGGGGCTGTTTTAGCATTTAGGGATTTATATATATATAAAAGCCCAGAAAGGTTTAGGAATATAATTGTCTTCCAGGCCCACTGTAAATCAATGCTCCTGCTGCATCTTAGCACCGTTGCCGTGTTCCGGTGGGAAATTATATTATCAATGTTTGGAAAATCCACTGTATCTCTGCAGTGTCCAGGAGCAGAGAAAAGAAAGCGGCCTCTGATGTTCCAAGAGTTGTCTCAAAGGTACCACTTTGGAGAAGGGTGCAGACTTCCTCCATGGTGGAAAAATGCACCCTTCATTGATGGGGTTATTACATGCCCTGGATCGTTGGGTTTACCTGCTAATGCAAATCCTGGCCAGTGTTAGCCTTGGTTAGAGTCGTGGGCCGTGAAAATATTTACAGACCCCCTCACATCCCGGATAATAAACTCAACTCCTTCCCTCAAAACGACGCTATAGAGCCCTGCACACCAGAACAATTAGGCACAAGGAGAGGTTTCCCCCCCCCGAACGCCATCACTCTGCTAAACAAATAATTCCCTCAACACTGTGTAACTACTTACAAAGTCTGCACTACTATTATTATTAATTTTCTCATCACTCCTTGTCGCCCATCCCCTCCCATTTGTGACTGGATGACTGTAACTTTGTCGCTTGTATCCTTATGATTTATATTGACTGTTTCCTAGTAGGATTTGATTGCTTATTGCACCCTCTGACTACTAAGGGTTGTACCTGATGACTCTTGACAAATGTCTCTTTTCTTTTATGTACACTGAGAGCATTTGCACCAAGGCAAATTCCTTGTGTGTCCAATCATACTTGGCCAATAAAGAATTTTATTCTATTCTATTATGGATGGGACGGATAAGCCTCATCTGTTAGATGGAACTCAGAGCACGATGCAATTCCAGAAAGGTGGAATCATTTAGGGCAGGGGTCTCCAACTTTGGCAACTTTAAGACTGTTGAAGTCCTCAAGTCTTAAAGTTGCCACGGTTGGAGACCCCGAAATCAGGGATGGCATCCAGTGAAGGAATTGGGCGGTTGGCCAACTGGACATGCGGGGATCCCTCGACCTTACGACCACAATGGAACCCAAACTGTGTGTCGATAAGCGAGACATTTGTTCATGGAAACTTCCTGCCATTGTCCGTTAAGTGAATCACTGCCGTTGTTAAGTTAGTGAATCTGGTTTCCCCATTGACTTCGCTCATCGGTAGGTTGCAAAAGGCGATCAGGTGACGTGCAACCATCGTAAATATGAACCGATTGCCAAGCACCTGGATTTTGATCCTGTGGCCCTGGGGGAATGATGCAATGGTTGTTAAGTACGAAACAAGTCCCTTTTTTTGGGGGGGGGCATTGTGACTTGAGACGGTCACTAAGGGAACTGTTGTAAG